AAAATTTGAGTATTTTTCTATGTTATGTTCATGTTTATGTTCATAAACTTTTTATTTAATAAAATATGTTTTCATAGTTTGTGTTGTCCCTTATTATCAATGCAAAATGGTCACTAACTAAAGAGGATTTATGCTGATATTGCCCAAAAACCCTATTTTGTTCAGGCGTTTCCAAACTTTTGGAGGGCAGTGTACATCTAAAATAAACAAATGCAATACAAGCTACAGTTAAACTAAAAAAAAGTCTTAATGTACTTACAGGAGTGGCAGATGAAACAGTCCTGAGACATCCTGCTTTGACTGAACAGAATCTCAGTAAACAGAAACCTAAAGAGAGAGAGAGAGAGAGAGAGAGGAAAGTAGACTCCTCATTGAGACAAACACAAAACTGAAACCTATAGTGTAAAAGCTGACATGCTCAGACTGGGCTTTTTTTTCCATAATCCACATACTGTAAACATGTGCATTTAGGCTGAACAATAAGTGGAAAGTGAAAGAGTGCATCCATTTAATTACATTTTAAAAAATCAGTTATTCAGCTGCCATATTTATCACACAGTTCTTTAGAAATGCAAGCTATTGCTTAGTGCCTAAGGGTCTATTTTAAGCTGCTCCTACAAATTAGTGCACAATAATGGTCTGATTTTTCCCACAAAGCAATCCACAGTGAATAAACCTGGATACACATGAACACTATAAGAGTGAATTCCAACCCAATGTTTGTTCATTCATTCGTGAAGGTTTTGTAAAGCATACTCACCATAATTAAAGTTTCACAAGCAGATGTATTAATAAACGTGTGAGCTGTTATTTAGAGTAGAGGATGATGAGGATCATTATGATGATGATATTGATGATGATGGTGGTGGTGGTGGTGGTGCATTCAAGGTGACTATCGAAGTTATGGAAAGTCTGTAAGGAATATTTTCCCACACCGACTCCAAGTTCAGCCATACTGAACAAATTAGATTAGCGACTTCTCCTGTTCATTAACATACCTGCACTCATTTCTGCCGTTTCATCACTTTAAATGACTCGTTATAACTTTATCATTTTGGAACCTGTTTTAAAATGTAGGTGCATTTGTTGTAATGCACCTTGGTTTAGAATTTTTTTAAGGGTTCTGTGTGGAAAACTGTCAGTGTTTCTCTTTTAGAAAAGAAAACTCAGAACCCATAACTATCCAAAGTGTTAAACATAATTTTCTAAAAAAGAAAAAAAAAATCAATTATAATTATTTAATGAATTATTTTTAAAATTTGTCTTATAAACATTTTGTTTACTCTATTAAATGCCTCATTAGGAGTTCATCCTTTTGGATCCTGTTTTTAAATGTGACATGCTTGGCACCAAAGTTCTTATCACATTTTCACTGCGATTAAATTATGACTACACACAATCAGCTGATGAAATTGATGTTTCACTTACCAGAGGTGTTGCTGTACTCAGGACCAGGAGAGTGTATGAAGATGCCATGCAGCTCTGCTTTTATTCTCAACTCAAACCGAAAGTATGGTTGGTGTGGTTTTATCTCATCACTCCGAAATGTGACAGGAATTAATCATGGGTTTTTCGGGTGTGAATAAAAAAGAAAAGAAGAAAGAATGTCAGCACTTTCACACTTTTTTTGGAGATTGGAATTTATAGTATTCACGTTACAGTAGTCAGTCATCCTCCTCGCAGTATTACTGTCCATCAGGGACAGCAGCTGTGTTTCACTCACATGAGAAGTAAAGTTTAAATGTGTTATACATTTAATAATCTATGCACAAGGATGGATTGAACATGTAAT